AAGCGTCAACAGAACACGCAGGAAGAAAACAGAGACGACGACGTTTTATATTCAGCACCATTTTGTGACAGCATCCGTTGAGGGAAACGATGTCGCACTGACGCTTCAAACGTAAAAAAAACATTTTCCAATACGAGTTGTCAGGACCAGTGTTCGCCAAGGGCCGGGCCAGCCCACAGAAGTCCAGGACCATTGACTGGGCTGGGCTACGGGCTGGACTGGGCCCTCAAATATGAAGGATCAAAGCCCATCGTGATGTGGATGGGCCGGCCCAAGAACTTTAAAATGGATTCAGATATTGCGCCGGAGATAAATGCCATAACTAGATAACATGCAGATTATTATTAAGACAATCAATTGCATGATCTGAAATTAATTCCATAACTAAATGACATATAAATAACGTTATGGCAATGAATTAAATGGACTGAAATTAATTCAACAAATTTATTTATTTTTTGAATCAACTTATTTTTGACGGGCTGGGCTGGGCTGGGTGGCATTTTTATCATGAACGGGTTCGGGCTGGGCCGGCCTGTGAACACGCCCTGGGCCGAACTGGACTGGGATTATGTGGTCTATGGCGAATACTGGTCAGTGCTACAGCTCTGACGAGAAAAAAAATGTTTTGCTTCTTGACACTGATCAATAAGAATGAGCAAAATTTCCGAGCAATAAACCAATCATGGGATTGATCATTGAAGGGTCGAATTTTGGGTATATCTAAATAAAACAAATATTTCTACTGAGCATAAAGTATAAATAAAAAAAGAAAATAAGATCAATATAAATATATAGTGAAAAATGAAGCATTAATGAAACATTATCAACAAAATTTAAAAATAAACACCCTTTCAGCGTGAAAACTACGCTCAATCACCTTGACTTAGGTCCTACTCGCCACTCCAGTAGGTCGTGCTGTTAGGTACCCATCACAGAGTAGAGCATCACATATACCTCCGGTGCCTGCGTGTCCACCTCTGTGCCTATGCCCCCCCCCCCCGGCCCCGCCGCCTTGCCCGTCCGGTCGGCCGTCCGTTGGCAGTGGTTCGACATGCCTCCGCCGTCTCTGGCCGCCCTAACCGTCAGTGGCGGGCAGTGTGACGGAGCACCCATCACACCGACCGGTCACCTCCCCCCCCCCCCAGCCGAGCCGCCGCTCCCCGTGACGCCCCCTCCAGACGCCCCTCTGTGACGTTCCGCCCCCCCCCTCCTGACACCTACCTGTGACGTTCCCCCAGTGACGTCACAGTCTGTGTCTCCTTCCACTGTCGCGGCAGCGGCTGACAGTCGAGTAACAACCCCTCCCTGTCCCCTATCTACCATCCCAGGCTGCTTTCTGATCTGATAGATGCAATACGGTATATACTAGAATAAGCGTAGAGGGGAGCAGGAGATGAAAAAGGTGAGGGACTTTTGAGGCCAAGCCAATTTAAGAAAATGAGAAGTTAAGTAGGAATAGAATGCGAGCTGCAAGCTATTACAGTTATAAATATTAAATAAAAACTTGTGAAAAACACGAGATCAGAGCCAAGCACTTAAGCAGTTTGACAGCGAAGATGGACTTTCCGGAAGTCTATTCTACTTTCAACCGGCGGCGAGACGAGCTCCCCTCCCCCTCTCGTGCGGTCCCTGGGTGAGCTTGAACTTCACAAAAATAAACAAAGCAAATTTCTTTCCATGACAGGAAGCTAAGGCAATGGAATGAAAGTCTGTAGTTAACCGATGACTAATACCTACGTCAGGTCCATGAACTTTGGATGTTTGGATGTTAGGCTTTGGATGTTAGTGAATCACTTCCGAATAAATGGCAACATGTTAGTTGCATTACCAAAAGCTTCAGATGGTCATACGTTTTTATTCAAAAGGTGATATTCAAGACATCTCAGGTGACGTTTAACAAACATAAATGACTTAAGACACATGACGTCATAAAGCATGCATTCGTAGGCCCTGATCACGAATATGTGCCCGAGCTCCAAAACTTAGCAACAATATGTATGGCTCAAATCTGCCAAGCTCGTCCTCACGTTCTGGCGATGTTCTTGAAAAACCTTAAAAGACTCGTATGCTGAAAACTGATTGGTGTTCAATGTTCATGTTGTTACGCATTCTCAGCCCATGTTACCATATCGCGTAAGTTAGTCGTCTGTTAATAAAAGAAACATGATAATCTTACATCGGTAAAACACACCGTCCGCAATTTAACGTTCAGTGTTTAAAGGATTGGAACCAGTGTTTGTGAAATTGCAGCGGCATGCCCGTAAATCGATCAATGATTCAATCCGACATATTTTCGAACATGTAATGGAATGCTAGTTCAATATTGACCCCTCCTTCACCTACCGAGATGTAAGTTTACTTTCATAACATTGGACTAAGCTCTGGGTAAACGTTTTCTGTGAAATGGATCGAAACATGTTTGCATTGTTCAATCGACCACAAATCTCACTGAATTAAGAAATGTATACCTAGACGCACCTGACCTAGCAGTGAATGTGCTCAAAGTCCCAACAAAAGTCTTGTGCTAAACAATCGCGCTGCTTGTAAGTTACACGTGTGAGTTAAAAACATGTTCTAATCTAAAAGACAAAGGTTACTGGACTAGCTGTTGTGTTGAATGCGGTTATGTTTCAGTGATCGAGGAACGCTAGCCTTGATAAATACTTGAGCTCAGATTGGTTGGCTTTTCGGAACAGCTTGAATACTAAGCAGGTAGTTTGAGAGATAGGAAGATAAGACATGTAATTGAACTCTTTGACAAGATAACATTTGACAAAAAAAAAATGTTATGTAGCTTCTTACGCCATTCTCTCGGCGTGATTCCAGACCCCTGGAGCGCCTCGGCCGCGCCATTAAAGGTCACCCAGAGCCCAGCTGAGCGGGTCCACTGACCGGTCATCCCTACTGACCCTAGGATGACCCGGGCCGTGCCGTTTCCCGGTGACGGAACGAGAGGACCGTCTCCACACGGTCACCGATGGCCCAAATGCCGGTCATACCATCGGCTGTCAAACCTCCCCCACCTGCCTGACTCACCGCCCCGCAGAGACACGCGCGCCTATTGGTCCGCTTCAGCGTTAGCCAATGGTGGACGGCCGGCCGACGGACCAATCACCGTTTGCGAGACAACAGCTGTCGTCCGTCGGCTGGGTCGTGCCGGGTTTCGGATGTCCTGAGGCTATAAAGTCGCCGGTGACCCGGTCAGAAGTCACAGAACCGGTCCCCGAACGTAAGTGGAAGGCGCGAGCGCGTGCGAAATACCGTGGAGCTCACCGGCGGCTCGCCGACAGGAGCACAGTGTGACAGTGACGTATAGTAGTGGTGCAGTGACAGAGCCTTGCAGTACCCCTGCAGGAACCGTAGACCCTTGGCCTGCGTTTGGCATCGGTGATCCGCCGGGGCCTCATCCAAGTAGTTGTGTCGTCTCTCGGAGTATTTTGAGTGCTCGTGTGGTACGGTCGAGAATGCATGGACATTGAAACGAATCAGATGGTGTCGTGATTCCGTGAACGTTGTAGAATAGATGTAATATAGTGTGTATGTGATAAGTGGTACTGATTTCAGACAACAGGAAGTGAATGATTGGAAACACACCACAGCCAGTGAATGATGTAGGATAAATAGTGGAACGCATGCCCGCAGGTCAAGTTGTGTGATAGTTACATTAGTAAACGTTTTTTGGTTTACTTAGAAACCCGTCGGCAAACCTGAAACTGTGATTGCATAGATGCAGCATGCCTAAACCAGGCAAACACTATTGGTTCTATGACTTGCTTACTTAAATCGACATGTATCGTTGCACTTTGCGACATTACATCGCATTGAGCAGTTTTTTGTAGTGTATTTATAGGTGCATTGATAACAGGCTATGTTGTTATATTACGCTACGTAGCCACGCTAAATTACGTTAATATGATAAAAGAGCTTGCAATGAAGCCGTGAGTGACTCCCTAATGTTTTAGGTAAACGTGAAAAAGAACATTTCATCTTATTGAAATTTCATATTAAGTTAACATTGACAAATTGAAATTTTATTTATATTTTATAAGTGATTGGCAATGGTATCTGATAAATGTGCATAAAATCGGTCCCAAAACAATAAGCTGGGTACTTCACTTACCATGGTGATGGAAGCATGTTAAACTGATAAGATGCGCACAACGATAAGCCCTCTGAGTTACTTTATCAACTTAGAGATTTACCAAACATGTCATGAATGTAGTAGTTTCTTGTTACATGTTACCGTTGATTGATCTGGTTTATCATCTTTCATGTATTCTCGTTTTTATTGTTCTCCAGTAACACTGTAACTAATGATTGCCAAAATGATCGAATGCGTGGTGAAAGATTCACAGAAGGAAAAACGTTTAAACACCAAAGTGAAAGCGGATTTTACGTCATAGATTTACTGAGCAGAGATTTACTGAGCAGCATTATTTAAATTATCATTTAAATAATTTAACATCGCGGTTTTTTTGACGTTTTCGAAAATGTTTTGACTAATTTATGCGGGATGCTACTTATACCTAAAACATCTTAGGTATGCACTATTTCGCCGTAATCAAGCTTAGCAAAAGGACATTTAACTTTATTGTATAGGCAAGAGGTTGGAATATTCTACCAGCAAACCAATGACTATGAAGAAGCTGTAAAACTATGTGAATGTTCAATATTCATACATAAAAAAAAATCAAAAACGCAAAAGTGGCAAAACAGTGTAGAAAGAAGTCAATGTTTTGAGTAAATTGAAACTCAAGCCCACACTGCCAGTATCTGTACGAGTATTCTATTCTCCATTTGCTATCGTTGGCTATCTCTCGCCGCCCCCTAACGGCGCTAGTTCCGGGCCAGTCCGCGAGGAATTTCGTGGCCGTCGCCATCGTCGCGCCCGTCGCCGGGCCTCGCTGGCAGCCGTTCAGCGATGTGGCCCCGTCGACTGCGACGGAGGGTAAATTTAGCGGACCGGATCGGGTGACGCTGGCCACGGTGGACGGGATAGAGGTGGTTGGAGGGCCACGAGCGACTCTGTGCACCCGCAGGGGGTTCGATAGGACGGTGGCCAGTGATAGACTGAAAAGGTGGAGAATTACTGACAAGTTTAAATAGACGTTGTTTTGCGGGAGGTGATGTAAATTACGCAGAGAGGCAAAGCCGTTTAAAAAAAGATATAGATACAACCGATTTAGGTGATTGTAACATCTCACCAGAAGACATATAAAAATTGAGCGAGAAACAACTCTTTGAAACTTAGCAAGCAGGACTGCAAGCTAACACTCAAAGTGCATGAAATCAGCACTCAGCAGCATTATCTTGTCTACCAACAGCTTCTCAACTGAAATTAACTCACAATCCCTGCTCACAATCTGATAAAAAATAAGAACAACAAACAAAATCGCCGCCAGCGGGATTTGAACCGACCCCGGCGGCATACTGACGTTTTGCACGTGTGTTTCCGCAGGGAGGTCTCCTAGCGTCGGGTCTGGTCTGAGTCGAAGCCGCCACCGACTCTTGTCGTCCGCCGATAACAAGTCGCCGCCATGCCCGCCCCGCCGAAGAAGACCGACCCGGCTGACGACCCAGACCCCTCTCCCTACCTGTGAGTACCGCTCTGACCTGACCTGATCTGACCTGACCGGACCGGCAACCCAGACCCCTCTCACTACCTGTGAGTACCGCTCTGACCTGACACGACCAGGTCTCTCTCCGTGCCTGTAAATACCGCTGACCTGACCTGATCTGATCCATCTCTACATCACTCTGAAGTCTGAACAAACCCAGTCCCGGTACATGTGAGTACCGTTCTGACCTGATCTGACCCGTCTGCGTACCTTTGAACACCACTCTGACCTGACAAAATTCCGCCCTAGCGTTAAGTACGACCCCAGCCTGATCTCATTCGAGCTGATCCGTTTCTTAACATGCTAGACAGTCTTGGCCTGGCTCATCGCACTTTGATCTGTCTCCAAACCGATATCGATCCCAATGAATATGAACATGCATCCCACTGAATCGGTCTAGCATTATTCGGACCATTTCATGAATCCAATAGATCACTATACGTCAGGAGCGCGGGACTAATCCGAATTGCTCCCAGAACAGGTCACTCTCTTGGGATGTCTTTTGAACTAACGGGCATCACCAATGCCTCTGACATCAAGCACAGCCCCTTTTCTAAAAAATGTCGTCCCTTTCACCCCTCCCATCTTATCAAGCAGTTTATCTTTCAGCTCTTTAATATAGTGTTAGAAATTGCCAGGCCTGATAGACTTTTACAATCAGGGAAGTGCCAAGTCTCCACTTCACTAAAAAAAAAAAAACTAAATTTAGACCTGAAACCGGTCGTTAATTCAATCCCCGCATTTCATGGCGAATCCCTGCAGTTTGTTCTTGTAATGTCTTTCTTCGTTCCTTGTGAAGCATTTACAACGTTCTTTTCCTACCAGATCAAATTGGACATCCCTCCAAAATCTCCCAATTTCTCAACGTCGTCTGACCTGACCTTATCTGACCTGACCCCTCCTCCGCCAGGTACGTGTCGCTGGAGCAGAAGCGCATCGACCAGACGAAGCCGTTCGACGCCAAGACCTCGTGCTGGGTTCCCGACGAGCAGGAGGGCTTCGTCAATGGCAAGATCGTCGGCACCAAGGGAGACCTGGTCTCCGTGCAGCTGCCGAACGGAGAGGTGCGTGAAGCGGCCAGGGGCAAGGCGGTTCAAAGGAGGGTCATGGCGGGGCGGCAACTATGATGAGGGTGTCTTTCTTGGTGAAGAGATGTCCATTGACGTGCTGCCTTCTGTGGGCACGTTAGCCATCGACAGTACTTATCTAACGCGACTAGAAGGAAAGTCTGGTTGAGTCTTAGCGCTAGAATCTTGGAACTCTTGGAAACAAACTTCATGTGGAGATCGGTTTGCGTAGGAAAAAAGCCTTGTATGTAGTCAATGAAAAGCCCTGGCTTTCTAGCTAGATTCAATCACCTAGAGTTCTAAGGAAAACTCCACCGAAAGCAGATTTATATAAGAGGTCAACATTCAAACATTTCAAACACCGTAAAGGCACGGAGTCTGACGTCGAGCCACCGCGCTGACATCTCTCCTGTCCTTCCTCCCACAGGAGAAGAACTTCAAGAAGGATCAGGTGCAGCAGGTCAACCCTCCCAAGTACGAGAAATGCGAGGACATGTCCAACCTGACCTACCTCAACGACGCCTCCGTGTTGAACAACCTGAAGCAGCGCTACTTCATCAAGCTCATCTACACCTACTCCGGCCTGTTCTGTGTGGCCATCAACCCGTACAAGCGGTTCCCCATCTACACAAACCGCGCCATCAACATCTACAAGGGCCGCAGGCGCAATGAGGTGCCGCCCCACATCTTCGCCATCTCCGACGGCGCCTACACCGACATGATGACCAGTAAGTTGGAGAACATGTCGGCAGTGGAGAACATGGGTGGCTGGTGGGAGTTACCAATGAGTGAGTATAGGTTCGCTGAGTGGGAACATTAGGGAAAGTTGTCCCAGAAAACAATAATGCAAAGCTTCATACGAATTTTGTTATCAGTCGTACACGTATAATCTCCGCTCCCTTCCTCCGTTGAAAAAATATTTTCACTTTGCACTTTAAAATGCTTTTCCCTTTATTGATAGATTGACAGACAACATTGCGAATTTCACACAAATTTTCATCCATGTCCGATTCAGTCATTTTCGCACATTCAGTCATCACTTCCGGATTCGTTTGCGGTTTTCGACCCGACCCACCGTCGTCAGCTGCCGACCCAAATTTGGCGCGTGGCGCGGCTCGGCTTTCGCGCGCTATTTTTGGCGCGGCCGGGCGCGCGCGCGGCGTGTCACCGAGTCTGGGCGACTTGGCCGGCGCGCCGGACAGCCGTGCCATGTAGCCGGGGCTCCGCCATTGGGGACGAAACCACAGAGCCGCTACTTGGCAGCCAACCATTTGGTCCATCGCGAACACTTACCGCTGAGAAATTACCGCGGCTGCGGGACCGCGGTCAATGGTTGTATCACTGTATCAATGTTTTTAGGAGAAGGGTCTCCCGCGGACGGAAGTAATCAAACCACCCGTTTTGTTGGAAAATGAATTGAATCAATGCAAACACGATCACTTTCAGGTCTCCGATTTTCTACAAAGATCAATATTTGTTTAGGCGCTGAGGCTTGCTAACATTGCGAGGCAGCAACCTACCTCAACTGACTGTCACTGGCAACAATCGGTTGGAAAGCAGCGGATGCTATTGTCCATATGACACCTTCATAGGATAGAGGGAACAAAATCCGACATGTCAAGAGAGATTTAAACAAAAATGAAACTACTGCACACTGATCTTGCTCGCATTATGCATTATGCAAGTCCCGCAAGATCGGAATGGACAAAATGTCTGACGTATTTTTTCTTCATTTCAGACGCCGAGAACCAGTCTATGCTGATTACGTAAGTATCCAGCACACACTAAGATATCATCGCACACAAAAAATCACTGAAATGATTCATTGTGGCAACTGGCAACTATTGTTACCCGCCATCAAGCATTACAATGAATAATACGACTGCTTCTGAATGGATTTTAATCCAAGATGACCTTCAGGCTTTACAGTACAAAATGTCTAATTAACAAAGACAAAAAGCAGCGGCGCATGCCTAATCTATGTCTAACGATAAGTGCGAGAATCAAACATTCAGGCGCATGCAAAAGTGATCACATCATTCGGCTGAGTAGGAAGACCTATGTAAGTCACAGGCGCGGATACAAGGGGGGGGCCATGGGGGCCATGGCCCCCCCCCCTTGGCCGATTTTTTTCAAAAATAAAATAAAAAGTTAAAAAGCTGAAAAGGGGGCCTCCTGAAAATAAAGTGGCCGAAATCCGATGAGTTTTTTTTTTAACCTACCCACTTAGTTATTTCTTAGAAGACTAGCTGAGAAGACTTCTTTGTTAGAAGATTGGTAAAGCTTTTCATAACTTGGAGGTCTCTTATACTCACAGAGATGACCACTTTTACAGGGCCTCCTAACCTGCACAGAGGGCCTCCAAGCCTGCACAGATGTCCTAACAAACACAAAATCTCTTAGCCTACACAGAGGCCTCCACTCGCATCCGAACAAAGGGCCTCCTAGCCAACACAGAGGGCCTCCTAACTCACACAGAAGGTCTCCTATCCTGCACAGAGGGACTCCAAGCCTGCACAGATATCCTCTTCGCCAACACAGGACCTCTTAATCTCCACAGAGGGCCTCCACTCGCATCCACACAAAGGGTCTCCAAGTCTGTACTGAGGGCCTGCGCTCGCATCTGCACAGAGGGCTTCCTAGTTCACATACAAGGCCTCCTAGCAGGGGCGGATCCAGGGGGGGGCGATAGGGACTATAGCGCCCCCCCGGGCGACTTTCTCATTTTCTTTTTTTTTGCAAAAAAAGCATGATAGGGGGCCCCCAAAAATAAAGTGGACGAAATCCAGGCTTAAACTTTTGGGGGTAGGTAGGGCCCCCATCGATGGGGGGCCCCCGATTCGGAATAGCCCCTCCCTTGGCAAAATGCTGGATCCGCCCCTGGTAAGTCATGCCTACCTCATTAGTCTCAGTCGACAGCACTAAATCCACAAAACTTCCCTCCACATCTCGTTCTCTCGCCAAGCATCTCGAACGTGCTCTCTTTTCAAATCGACGTTCCGAATTTCGACTACCTTCCTTTTTACGCTAAATTCACACCGAATACGTTTATTTGACGTGTAGACCTCCGCACTTTTCTCACGCAAACACATGTACTTTCTGAAAGACGTAGTCTCGCGTGAACCAAAAGTACCGACTCTCATCTCTCCACCCCCAGCGGTGAGTCCGGTGCCGGAAAGACTGAGAACACAAAGAAGGTAATCGCGTACTTCGCCAACGTCGGTGCCTCCGGCAAGAAGAAGGATGATGGCAAGGGCAACCTGGAGGACCAGGTCGTCCAGACCAACCCCGTCCTGGAGGCCTTCGGCAACGCCAAGACCACCCGTAACGACAACTCGTCTCGCTTCGTGAGTGGTCGGGGTCGGCAAACAAACAACAGCAAACGTGGACTGGGTTTTTAGGGTAGCTCAGCTACCCTAGCTGAAAAACAATATCAAATTCTTATCTGTATTCAATGTAAACGCATCTTATCTGTATTCAATGATGTTTACATTGAATACAGATAAGAATTTGATATTGTTTTTCATTAAAATACCCTAGCTGAGTTTGCTACCGTAGCTGAGCGGTGACTCTTCAATCAATTTGAGAGACACTGATCTTGATTTCTTGTACAAGCTAGATCAACATGAAAAGATTCGAAACTAGTCTTATCGAATTGAGTGTGTAATGCTGAACGCATTTTGACTTAGTTGAGTTCTCGATTCAGAAATAGTGAGATTCGGAAGCCTAACTCCCAAACTATCAAACACCTTCTAGCGAATCATCACCTCGCTCATCTAACCTTCTCTTTCTTCCACCCCAGGGAAAGTTCATCCGCATCCACTTCGGCACTGCCGGCAAGCTGGCCGGCGCCGACATCGAGACCTACCTGCTAGAGAAGGCGCGTGTCATCTCGCAGCAGCCGCTGGAGCGCTCCTACCATATCTTCTACCAGATGATGTCCGGAGCCATTCCCTCCATCAAGAGTGAGTTTCAATAGATGGCACGTGATGTCGAGGATGAGGAGTTCCATGGCTTCGAGATGTGTGGTTGGATAATGGATATGTAGCATCCAAAGAAAACATTGTGAATGTTTGTGGTGGGTGATGTGTACATACAATCAGCAGAGGCATTAGATATAGGTATGCAATCCCGGTTGAAGCGGGTCAACCCATCACATTTTACAGGGTATAAGGTTGGCTGTTGGTAGATTTCAAGTTACTTCAGCATGGCCTGTAGAAGCTAGCATCGAGCTTATGTCCCATTGTAGTTACATAGATTAAAGACTGCAGCACTTGAAGATGTTCACGTCTCTGGAAGTGCAGAACAGGTCAACATCCTATCAAGGCTGGAAAGGGTTGGTCACGCCTCTCGGCCTCTCGCACATTTCCTGTAGCTTATTGTAGTTATAGCATGATAATCACGATTCGATGTAGTCGTGTTGTGACCTTGGTACCTCTCAGTTCGTACCAAAGCCGCCTCATAGCCGTTTCGTACCACCGGTAACTAGAATCGCCCCTTGTGCAGAGGACTGTCTTCTCAGCGACGACATCTACGACTACCACTTTGTCAGTCAGGGCAAGACCACCATTCCCAATGTTGACGACGCCGAGGAGTTGGTATTCACGGATGTGAGTGCGAAGAAGGAGCTCTGAGATACCCCTCCGGACTAATACCATCAGTTCCAGCCGGTGTATATGTGACTAACCAAGCTGATCGCTTCTAACAGACACTGGGTGATGGGCGATGGCGTCGACAATTGTCCTCTCAACTTGCTCACGCTTGTCTTGATCCGTGTCCCCTGCGCATCGTTCGCCGCTTTGATCTGTTGAAATGTGTCGCGCTTCAACGTAACACTTGCAATGCCTTTTCGCCCGACTACTCAACACAAATCTGCTTTCGCTAACTTGCTTCCCTCAGCTCATTGCACTTCAACTTCAAATTCGAAAGAAATAATACAAGTTAGCCCTTTGACGATCATGGCACAACAACTTCAAGTAGATTCAGGTTCCTCCTTTCCCGTTATCAACCGGCATCCGGCATGCGAAAAACATGCAAAATCTTGTCATAACACTCCAATAGCAAACGATTGACGAAGTCTCACAACAGCAAAACAATTACCTGTGTAACGCTCTACCTTTTTGGAAATTACGAACACATTTCAATTATTCTCCATTTTCATCATTCTTCCGATCCAGAAACAAAACACTAGTAAAAACTAGCAGAATGACCCTGAAACCAGAGGCGCTGATACATTTTACATCGCGCTAACGCCATTTTGTTTGCGATTCTGCAGAGGACTGTCTCCTTAGCGACGACATCCACGATTACCACTACGTGTCCCAGGGCAAAACTTTCATCCCGGGCGTTGACGACGGCGAGGAAATGACCTTTACCGATGTAAGCTGGTTTGGCAAGTGTATTTGAGCGTGGTAGAAAGAAGCAGTTGACGTGGTAGAAAGAAGGGTATTTCAGCCCGCCAGCGACTGTTCCTACAGATTAAGTCGTAGAAAATGGGTTGTATGACTCATCGCAGATCCTTGTCCAAGTATTAAAATTTTAGCATGTTAAGCCAATTGAAGAAAGGAAGACCCGTAGTTGGAATGGACGTAGTTTTCAGCACTGGTTGGAATGGGTATCCTCGTTAGTTTTAGACTTAAAAAAATACTGTGATCTGTAGTAGCCAGGAAGTATCTCAGTTCCTGTCGACAACAGCCGAATAGCGCAGCTTCACCAGTCACCACAACACTATGAGGCGTACCTATCTGTAGTTAGCAACAGCCTAAAAATGCCTTTCGTCCTATTAAAAACAAAACTTAAGCTTAGTTGCTTCCACTTTGCATGTACCTATTTAGTTACAATTATAAGTGCACTGAAAATATAATGTGTACATATTTTGCACATCTAAATACCTACGCATGAGACCCTCATACCAGGAGTCCCCGTGACCAGCGTTACTAAAAACATAACAATTTTTAACCCATAACCCATCACGGAATGTCCTTTGTGCGTTCAACCTATAGGTAAGCGATGTTTGGTCAAGTTTTTGAGTTGATAATATCCAAGCTCAGTACGAAATGACAGTTCAAGCCTCAATGTGTGTTCTTCACTTTACCTAAATGTTCGTATATCTATCACTGACTGATGACCTGTTTAACTTTATATGACAATCTAATATGATGACAACTTAATATCGCAACATCATCATCACACGGTTAGATGAAATACCCATCTACCAGCGATCTAAAAAAGATTCTTTATATCCTAGTCAACGAAGCACTATCTCAGTTCCTTGTGAATTTCTCATTATCTCATTTGAACTCCACAATTGTCATGACCTCTGACCTGACCTAACTGCCGGCGCAGACCGCCTTCGACGTGCTGAACTTCAGCCAGCAGGAGAAGAACGACATCTACAAGATCACCGCTGCCGTCATGCACATCGGCGAGATGAAGTTCAAGCAGAAGGGTCGCGAGGAGCAGGCGGAGGCTGACGGCACCGCTGTGAGTAGACAAAACATGGCCACGCCCACGGACTGCTCCAATATGGCCACCTCCAGGTGCTACTTCGAAATTTCCGCTTCTAGCTGTTATTAATGTGACCATCAATTGCAGCCAGTGTAAGCAGGGGTTTCTCCCGCTTTCACTGGGAGCTGCAGAACAGGCGATTATTAATGCCGAAACAGCATCATTTCAGATTCAGGAAAAAATTCGAACAGAACCCATGCCATCACCAAATCAGCAAAGACAGCCGCCGAGTTTCCCTCTCACCTTCTTGAGAAACGCTTTTCATCAGCATAAGTATTGCTTTCAGCTACTTCAAAAACAATACTCGAGCCTGCACTCGACGCACCCTAACACCCCGTCCCCCACTTCTTCCGTTCGCAGGAGGGTGAGCGCGTCGCCAAGCTGATCGGCGTCGACGGTCAGATGCTGTACACGAACCTGCTGAAGCCCAGGATCAAGGTCGGCAACGAGTTCGTCACCCAGGGCCGTAACAAGGACCAGGTGAGAGGTGCACTCTGAGAAACGCGAGCTGGAGCGGATCGAAAGCGCAACAGCTGTCAATGCACGTGTCTGCTTAGCATATCTATATATTTATCTTCTACAGGAAAGACTGACTTCTACGACGTTCACGTAAGCTTGGCCTCTATATGTCTTTAGGAATAAAACAGGAAATACTGGGAGTATCTACCAAGCTAAATCATTTAATGCTCGTTCATGCAACGAACTCGAGCGAACGCACAGCCATGATCTTACCCGTTCCTCTCAAACACTCAGGTGAACTACTCGATCGGTGCCATGGCCAAGGCGATGTTCGATCGTCTCTTCAAGTGGCTGGTCAAGAAGGTGAACCTGACTCTGGACACCAAGCAGAAGCGCGCTCACTTCATCGGTGTGCTCGACATTGCCGGCTTTGAGATCTTCGACGTGAGTTTGACTCGCAGCGTGATAGGAAATAAGTTTGGAAAGGATCGGATATCATATTCATGTAGTGCCTGCTTCCAGGTAGCTGGCTATAACTCCCTTCTTATTTCATGCCACACAGGCTTCAATCTTTAATTGTTCACATATAATAAGCCACTCTCGATGAGCTTCTTGATGAGCCACGCTCGGAATAGGTTTTTTCCATACCAAATTGCAAGCCATTCATCTTATAGGCCATCAATATGTTTGTAAAAGAAATAGGTACTAAAGACAGCGATACCATTTGTGCAATGAAATGTGTCGATTCCTTGTGCTCGAAACTCCAACCCGACCCAACACTGACAACTGTTCACAGGCCTAACCGTCGATCTTCAGCTACAAGATGACTCCCTCGTTTCAGCACTCTCTTTTCAGGAGTGACGCTGCTGAGTTCGTGATGCTCCAGACTTCCTTTTTCAGCCGTGCCAGAAGAACGCGGCACCATCCCTCCTCACTGTTCTGATGTAGTTGTGCCATCGTCATCTCCCGTGTTCATCGTGGTGCTAACTCTGACACGCGAAGCTCACAGCACCTTATCCTTCGACCTCATCATCCTAAGATCCTTCGGGTATATCTCCACTCCTCGATGACCATGTTTCTGACTCTGACAAACCACCACCCAGTACAACGGCTTCGAGCAGCTGTGCATCAACTTCACCAACGAGAAGCTGCAGCAATTCTTTAACCACCACATGTTCGTACTTGAACAAGAAGAGTACAAGAAGGAAGGCATTAACTGGGTGTTTGTCGATTTCGGAATGGACTTGCAAGCTTGCATTGAGTTGATGGAGAAGGTAATTACAGGTCCAGGTCATCGAGACGACATCGGAAGGGCATGCGGCGTAACCGGGCATGTTTGCTTGCATCGCAAAGTGGATGCCGACTTGCTGAATTGTAGTGTTGACATGGTAGTTTGCAGTTTCAGATCGCAGAACTGGCTGCTACTTCTACGCTCGTGGCATGCGGTTAACAAAGTCGGCATCTATATAATAGTGAAAGATGTGTGCTGCAGACCAGTCAGCAGCCTTTGCGTAGCCACAACGTACTTCATGGAGTGCCTGGATGTTTAGCATCGTCTGACAGGATATAAAGCACACTACCATACCAAACGTTTGGATGGTGCATGTGGAATGTCGATAGCATAGTTGACTTTGGCAACCACGAGCCGACACCAGATGTGGAAATTTCGAGACGTCCTAACTTCAGGAACTCTTATTAGAGCGACATGCATGCAAAAACATAATCGTGTTGTGTCCACTCATGGATGCCAAAGAAGTTTAATCGTGAATGGTTTCCCCGTCTGCCTGTCTGGCATTTTAGTGTTCTCTTAGAATAGCACAGGAGAACCCGGCAAATGGACGCCAATTATGCATACGAGACGCTGGTTAAGTTGTGGTAACTAACACGCTCGTTGCGTCGCGTTTTAGTACAACGGCTTCGAACAACTCTGTATCAACTTCACCAACGAGAAACTGCAGCAGTTCTTCAACCACCACATGTTCGTGCTGGAGCAAGAGGAGTACAAGAAGGAAGGCATTGACTGGATCTTCGTAGACTTTGGCATGGATCTCGCGGCGTGTATTCACTTGATGGAGAAGGTGCGAACGCGTGAAGCTTACGTGTGAACCCCTCGCGTCCTGCTGTAAAATCCAAACGCACATTTTGTTTGCTTCCAGAGCGGCTCAGTCGTTCTTTGTGTGGACTTCCAGGTCCCAAGGGAGTCCTCATCTGCCTTTGAAACCACGTCTCCTCCTCCCAAACGCCTGCTAACATTCTGCATATCACTGTTGCATTTAAAAAAAAATCCAGAAAACAGGCGCCTTTTGCTTTTTGCTACCTGCTGAAGTTTTCTTGTACTGCTTGTCACCCCGTTGTGGCTTGCATTTAAATCTCCATCATTCCGTTCCCTTCCCGTTTGGGTATCTGTCGCACGGCATGAAGAAGACAATAATGAAGACGAAGGAATTACTTCAAAAATCGCAACAACTGAAGCGAAGCATTGAAGGATTTGGACTATCGCAACAGTACTACAACAAAGCCCGCCAAAGGCCACCAGTTGTTTCGACAGCATGCGCTTATCTATGCTGAGCCCAAGAGTTCAACCTACCCTTTCACCCAATCAGAAAGAACCCTACCCGCAAGAGTGACTTCAGCCCACGTCAATCTTTGCATTCACTGCTACCACCAAAAACCTCACCCGCAAGTGACTTAGACCAACGCCCATCTTTTGCATTCACCGCTACCAGCAATTATCCACCTCTCCAGTTATGGCTCTCAATGTTCCCTGCCCTTTGAACGCCTCGCTACCGAAAAATACCTACCCCGAGTTGCCCAACGCAGGATGACTTCCCAGAATTCTGCACTCATCAACCCCAGCTTGCCCCTTTCTCATTGCCGTCACGCTATGAAGAACGTTTAGCAGTTCTTACCCTGTTTTGCAGCACCCTGACCCCACCGCTGGAGTGAGAATGCCCTCCAGTATCCACCAGCAACCCAAGCGGAACCCGACCAGGAGATGTTTAACACATTTCACCCTCCCAGAATATTGCCTTTCCCTAATATACTGCTTGGAACATCTCTGTGACCCTCAAGCACCCCACCCCAGTTTACTCTTACTCTTTTACAGAACCCCAGCAGGATCGGACACCAGTGCGGATCGTCTTGCTAGCTTATTCGCTTGCCCCCCCCCTCCCCCTGCTGCCCGACTGCTCTTGACCCATCACAAGCTGTATCATGATGCCCTTGACGCCTCACCCCCACTCGCAGGAGTTGAAGTCCATCTCCCCCACCCGTTCCCGCTTGGCCCTCAAATTCACCCCGAATGTGCCCCCCCCCCTTGCTGTTCCGGCAACCGGCTGCCAATATGTGCTCTGCAACCCGACCACCCCTACCCACCCGACTTCGCCCGGCAAGCTTGACCACAAAAGCATCATCTGTATTCTGTACGCCCTGGCCCTACTGTATTTCTTTTTACACCGCCGATTGCTTCCCTCGCCCCGAGTGCTGCCCACCCTCCCACAGTGTGTGCCACGCCCTGTTTTACCCCACCGCAAGCGGCAATCTTCCAGAACATCTTGCGACGTTTCGTCTCAACGATAATCGTTGTTTTCTAGTTCAACGGCTTTGAGCAGCTGTGCATCAACTTCACCAATGAGAAGCTGCAGCAGTTCTTCAACCACCACATGTTCGTACTTGAGCAAGAGGAGTACAAGCGTGAGGGTATTAACTGGACCTTTGTCGACTTCGGTATGGATCTCCAGGCTTGCATTGAGCTTATGGAGAAGGTGGGTGAACGAAAGGCCTTAATCCCAAGTGGCGATGACTTGGGGTGAGGCAGTGCATGCTAACTATTCATTGTCGTCCTTTTGAGGTCTACGACGCTCCGCCAAGAGTTGTGCAAGAAAAAAAGGTGGTCACTGGTCGTCCACGTTCTTTTTCGTCAGTAGTAGCGCGCTCTGCGTAGTTCAAAATACCGATATAAACACTTTCAGTCTTTGAGTTACGAGTCCGTCTTTGTTTATTAATCGTGGCATCTACCGTGTTTCCTCTTGGTGGCTTGCTAGTTTCTCTTTAACAAAATCAGGAGTAACTCTCTCAGGATAAGGTTTGGGATAAAATATCCAATGTCCATACAAGTACGGCACAATCGCCATGTAAATTTATTAAAATTGGTGCTGGGGACCAAAACATTTTCTTCTATAGTTTAGGGATCATATGGACTGCAAGACGTTTCACGTGCTAAACCTAAATGTATATGGTAGCTGATGATTTAATTGGAATCAATGTGCTCATCAATCATCCAGCGATACATGCTACTCTTTTAGCTCACGAGCAAGACGTTGAGGAAATGACGAATGCTCTCTAAGGAAAAGATGTCTTTGGGATTATGAGCCTTTACGAATGGCGCATATACTTATCGCATTTTACGATAATGTGCATGACTATTATCTTTATGTATGTCATCGTGCATGATTTACGGTGAACAATGCATGCAATAATTTGTCAAAAGACACATCGCCGGAAAATGTTAATTGTTAAGTGCAAAAGCACACGATTAGATTAGAAAATGTTGTTTTCAATTTGCTTTATAAGAGTAAAAGTTTGCAAAATGATTTATTGAAGTCATATCAAAGTTCACTCAGTATCACATTTCAACAAGATTAATGTAGCTTACTAGCATGCGCTTAGCTGAAAACGAGTCAAAATATTAAGACCAAAAGATAATTAAAGGCTCTAAAACTAAAGGCCTGGAGACCCTCGTGCAGCAAAGGACAGCGCTTTTCAAGCACGATTCGTGAAATATTGACTCATATCTCCGCCTCGGCTCTTTTGCCAGAAGCGCGACACAATATGTGCGCGGAGTGCGGATTAGCTCTGTCATCCGCAGAGGGTCCCCAGAGCATTCGGCCCGGCTGCTGTAACACCCCACCCCCAACCATTTCAGCCCATGGGTGTGCTCTCCATCCTTGAGGAGGAGAGTATGTTCCCCAAGGCCACCGACAAGTCGTTCGAGGAGAAGCTGAAGAACAACCACCTCGGCAAGTCGTCCTGCTTCATCAAGCCCAAGCCGCCCAAGCCGGGACAGAAGGAGGCTCACTTCGCCATTGTCCATTACGCTGGAACCGTGAGTGGCAACGCAGAACACCAACAATTGTCGTTCAACACATCAACAAAGATGTGATGGCAGCACTTTGATACGTATCGCTCCGCAAAGAATGGTCTTGGATGTTGCCTTCTTATGCGACTTATACAGAGATGCTTAGCTTAAAGACAAAACAGGAGTTTTAAGATGGTATCTCGATGGCCCGATGCCCTGCCATCGTTACTCTATTGAAGTCCAACCCGCTTCCACGACTACCCTCTAAGCTCCACATAAAGGAAACAAGCTCCTTCCCACATCCCACTTCCAACTATCACAGCTCGCTCTCTGCCGTCCCCAGGTGGCGTACAACCTCACCGGCTGGCTCGAGAAGAACAAGGACCCGCTGAACGACACGGTCGTTGACCAGTTTAAGAAGGGCTCCAACGCCCTGGCTGTGGAGATCTTCGCCGACCACCCGGGCCAGTCGGCCCCGGCCGATGCTGGCGGCAAGGGTACGCCGGTTACACACTGATAGGGGAATAAGGGATGGTAACACAGCAGAACACTGCCAGACAATAACTGCAGAAGAGGGGAGGTGGTTGTTGTCACAAAGATGGAGTTACACACTGATGGAGAGTAACTGCAAGGGAAAGAAAGTACCAAATGATCACAAACCAACACTAACTCACATGTTGTCATTTGGGTCAGGGGGATGACACCTTACCACAAAACAACTTCAAAACACTATACATAATAACAGGCGTTCGAAACATAGGAAGAGCAATACTGACTGTCCATGAGGCACTACATACTGCAGGAGTAGGGTGGGGGTAATACTGGTTATTCACAACGCACATGTTTGTAGTCGGTAGGAGTTGTCGGTGGGGTAATGAAAACTGACAATGGAGGATAACAACTCTGGCGGGCAAGAACGACATGGTCAGGGGGATGGTAGGTAACTAAGATACCGTGCACTGATAGCTAGGAAATGAATGCTTCTGTTGGTAGTCATGTTGGTACTGTAGGCATTGACGACGACCAGAAATGTGAAATGTTTCCGTAGGTAAGAGCAAGTTCTGGCGAGTGTTTTGCTTTTCATGATAAATAGCGAGTAACTCTTCGTGTTAACGTTAACATAAGAAACTTTCTTTGCGATTCGTTGCTGGCAATCAAAGCTGATTTCATAATGAAGCTGATGTTTAGATGAAGCTCTCTCAGATTGGCCTGACCACGCCACTGATATTACCTAACTGCAGGAGCCAAGCGTCAGAAGGGTTCCGGCTTCCAAACCGTGTCCGCCATGTACAGGGTAAATATCAACTCTTATGCGCCGCGATGCTCAGGACGACGTGCCTTGCTGCCGGCAGCGAAACAATCTTCTTCACTCGCCATTTAAGTGATATGTATCGCTTTTAATATCAAAGAGACAATTTTCCCGCTGCCAATGCGAGACACGTTCGCCCTCGAAGCGGGCGCCGGGTCGATCAGAAGTCATCATGCCTAGCTCTCTCGTCTCTAAGTAAGCCAAGCTGTTGTTGATGACTCGGCCTTCGTCCCGGCGGCCGCTTCAATAGTGTCTGTCTCCGCGCTTTGAGCACGGTCTGACGACGGCAAGACGCCGGTCTGGCCTTCGTCAGACCGTGTTTGCGCCTGTGTGCCACTCTGGTGCGTCCATTAACACCACGATGTTGTGTCCTTTCAAGGCGGTCGCAAGAAGGGCGCAGGCTTTGCCACCGTGTCTTCGGGTTACAAGGTTTGGCAAACGTGGATGAGTGTTACTGTCCCCCTCCCACCCTAGATGCACGTGCGCCCGGGCTGCGAGAGCACGAGCGCAGTTTCGGGCCGTCGTGCACGAACCGCAGTTCGAGAGGAACCAATGCACGATCTTCGTCCGGCAGCAGCAGCAGTCGTGCACAGAGATGAGGCCAGCGGTGTCCTCGGGGAGACCGCACCCTCCCGCCCCGACCCAGAGCTCCCTCCACCCACCCCTGTACAGAGGTCGTCGCAGCAGGCGCACTCGGAGGCCAGCAGATCTGCATCGGAGGAGACCGTGCCCACTCTCTTGCAACTCCCCCCACCCCACCGCCTCTCTCAGCCAGCAACCCCATGCAGTGGACTGGTCGACAAAAGCACACTTCACAGGAAGCCTGCAGTAATTCGCACACCTTGGTTGTTGTTGTTGTTGCTGTATATGTTGTTGCACATACCGTTAGGCGGCACGGGCGGACATCGATAGCAGCGCCTCTATCGGTCACTAGGGAAAGCTGGGCTGTAGGCGACGAAATACCGGCTGAGTTGTCACAAGTTAAATAGGTTTATAGACATCCGTCTTGTGAAAAAGTTGAACTTTTGCCTTCAATATTTCTACAGGCAATTTTAGAAGTGCCTTCACATAGATTACAAAACCGTTTAGATTATTTTATTCACTTCGAGCCTTCCCTATTGTTCTTGATGATGCGGGAACTATTTCTAATTAGTGTTTCTAGCTTAGTAAAAGAACATATTGTGCAAACGATGAAAAAAGCATAAATGGAAGATTTTAAATGCAATTTTCTGTAACAAATAATGGTAAATTCTCTACACATCAAGGAAAAGGTGCATGGTAACTGATAATTTAAAGTTCTTGGGGCCAGTTGGTTTCTTCTTTTCTTACGTCGCCCCAATGGCCGCGAATACACTTGTGATAACGCCTATCGCATCGCCGGCATGTGATGATGATGCCTGTGACCTCAATGTTCGATACGACACCCTTGCCAACCTCTCTTCACCAAGACATGACCCCACCACCACCACAGTCGAAGCCCGTACGTAGTCCGGTGATCCGCCATGTATTACTCGCTTTCCCTAGCTCGCAGCGCCTTTCGCACTACCTCTGTGTCTCTGCTTGTGGTCAAGAGCTTGCATACTGCCGCGCAATGCCCTCGTCCAATGTTTGACGCGCTTGAGGCGTCAACTTCCGCGAGGGTGTCGCCAATGGTGGCGGACTGATGTCATTTAGTCGGCTCTTTTTTATGCTGCCCAAGCTCAGCCAGTGTGGGGTGGCGGCTGGCTGCATCCCACAAAAGGAGAAGCTGAACAAATCGGCCGTTGAGAAATTGCTACTGGGTCTATGTTGAACCACAGCATCGGTTCCTGACCACCACTGGTGACGCCTTTTTTGTATGTTGAGCTCCTAGCTAGCTGCACGTATAGAGAGACACCGTGGCCAGCATTACGTCATTTTTCGTCTTCGAGCCAAGTAGCTATTAGCTATTCACTATCATCAAGTGATAAGTGTGCATTTTGCTTCGGACGTCATGTACATCACAGTCATCTACTTTTTCAATAAAAACTGGCTATCCCAAATAATAGCGAATAGAATGTTCATTTCTGTAAGGCATGAGCAAGTTCAATTCCAGTAATTCATGGCCAACTCAGTTTGGCTATTATTGCGCGTGCCAGGAACAATAAATATTTTGAAACTCAGACAATAAGTGACCGGTTAGTCCAAGCGGATTGTTTTCGTGGACAGGACCTTAAATCGAAGGCTACTTGGCGACTCTATGGCTCATATTGTCATGCTGCTTTATCGCGTATGCCTTTTTGTGTCACTTAACGTGTTTTTCTACTGTCGTATTTGTTTTATAACATCATAGCCGCAGCCAGCTTTCTGCCTCACACAGGCTTCTGCTTTTCATTTCAAAACCGGCCTCCATTTTTATGGCCGTAACAGCTTTTTGTCTCACGCTAAAGCTGCTATAGTACTTGTCTCATGTGCTAAGTCCCATCTGCTAAGTCTCATGCGGCTTCCTGTGTTTCGTCCGGCCTCTTTTGTCGCACATCCTGAGCTACTCCATCTCACGGGTCCTCCTCTTGCAGCCTCAATCACCTTCTCCCCATCACCCCGACGACCATCTTCGCCGCGGAAATTCACCCGGCACCCTCCGCGACCCCATTACCTCACGTGTTGTCGCTCTGTCTCTCATCTCCAAGAGTCTGCAGAGCTGACCGACGCTTCGTACCGTCCACAGGAGCAGCTCAACGGTCTGATGAAGACCCTGAACAGCACTCAGCCTCACTTCATCCGTTGCATCATTCCCAACGAGTTCAAGCAGACTGGTCAGTTGGAAACTGGGGGAGGCCGCAGGGCTATAGGATCTCCTCCATGATAGCTAGTTGTTGGACTTCACGATGGAGACGCTTGGCAACTCATCGCCATTAACGGAGAATTGTAAATCGATCAGTCAATCGTTAACTTGAGCAGCCGTTGACATGCTTAGGTAAACCATGTCAATAATTCGCGTTCTGTCGGTCTCCGCTTAGAGTTTCGAACGTAAGCAGCATAATTCCTTGCTCAAAACGTTCACCGAAATCAACCACAACTTTCCGGACATGCCCCTGTTCTTCGCCAAACCATCACTGCATCAGCGGCTGACTCCGACCTTACTGCTTTCCTTCGCGACCAACTCTTTCGCCCCCTTTCCGCAGGTGTGATCGACTCCCACCTCGTCATGCACCAGCTGACCTGTAACGGTGTGCTTGAAGGCATCCGTATTTGCCGCAAGGGCTTCCCCAACCGAATGGTCTACTCGGACTTCAAGCACCGGTACGTTATCACGAAGTTAGACCACTGGGGTGGAAAGGTGCAAAGTTCACAAAATACACCTCAGCCCAGTGTATTGGACATAGTTAGTACCCAACAGGCCAGCCGGCAGACCTGGAGATATTTATACAAGAACGGTGCGAGACTGGGGCCTCGAAAAGCATACTTTTTAGTCTCAACTTACGCTGGCTCCACATTGTTCTTTGATGAATAGAATGTATCGAATACCACCTTACATTACGATGAAACAGTGGGTAGAATACTCGTATGTATAGCTGTAGGTACAGAGTCCCAATGCCCTCCCGTCACCCCGCTACAGCTACAAGATCCTGGCCACCAAGGAGATGACCAAGGAGAAGGAGGACAAGCAGGCGGCCGCCGTGTGCTTCGAGAAGATCCAGCTGGAGGAGGAAAAGTTCCGCCTTGGTCACACTAAGGTCACTAACCTCCCTTTGGCAGAATGCTTGGCGGGATCCGGCCAAGGAGCAGCAGTTTTTGTTTCAGAGTCGGCACGCGCAGTTGCAGGAATGGTTCCACCCTTTTGCAGGGCAGTCGTCTCGAATGAACATTACTCCTTTGTGTATCTCGAACTATGTACATATTATGTGTGTAACATCGGATAACTTGTGACACGTATTCGGGAAGAGTGCCAAATCTGTGTAGTGTCGACTGACTATGTGAATACGTGTTGTGAGGAATTCGTTGACTGTGTTCCACGTGTAGTGTATATATTAATGTGTACATTCATAACTTCATAATTCCAAGACACACAACCAGATACTGAGGGCAAAACAGGCGGGACATCCTGACAAATTTATCCTTACTCATTTGAGTTTGAAAATACAAAGGCACCCAATCATACTTTCTCAGCATTCTGACTCATTCCAATCCAACCCAAGTCCTTCAGGATCAACCTCATGTCTTCGAGCACTTAGACCTCCAAAGATCTAACCGATCACCAGACGCCAGTCACTGAACATGCCACCCGTTCGGTTACTCCAACAGCTACAAGATCCTGGCCGCTCAGGAGATGGCCAAGGAGAAGGAGGACCAGCAGGCGGCAGGCGCCTGTTTCGATAAGATTGGCCTTGACAAGGAGCTGTTCCGTCTTGGACACACCAAGGCAATGCCGCCTTAGACAGATAGACATAGCTTAGGGTAGACGCTGTAGATTTTTTTTCGCTTGGTCAGAATACGATGCTGCATAGCAGGTCATATGTTCATGCGAGAGCGTGAAGCGCAGCCTGCGTATTGTCACTTAGTGGGTTGCTTTCAACGATAGCAAGTATAGAGAACAAAGCTGAAACACTTCCCCTTAAAATCTGATAAAATAGAAGAGTTGGAGGATAGCTTAGTGAAATATCACGACAGAAGTACATTAGTTAAATAATGGCCTCGGTTAAAACCCTAGTCGAGGAAAGACTTCATCATAGTTGGCATTGAAAAGCAGAGTTCTAGAAGCCATGGGCTGGTAAAATTTTACCTTTCAAGCCGTAACAGTAGGGTCATCTTAAAAAGTAGTGCCATGAGATTAGGTGTTGACGTAGTACGCACGCCAATAGGTAGCAAGTATCGTAGTGCAGATTGAGCAGTTTTCTTGAGCTGGTCGTAGTCAAGTGTTGATGAATGGTTTAATTGAAACTTCGAGTGATTTTTCAGCAGACATTGACCCTTTAGTTCGAGACCGGATGGTACAATGTAGCTAAGAAGAAATCCTTCATCCCTTCTCACATCAAACCGTGAGACGAATTCCTATCTGCCATCGTCTCCTCAAAACCACCTACACTTCAGTTCTCCACCACGCCAATCTCACTCCATGTGACACCACTGACATTGATCTGCCATTCGTTTAGCTACATGATTCTCGCTCCGAAGAAAATGCAGCAGGCTAAGGAGGAGAAGGACGCAGCTGCTGCGTGCTTCGAGAGTGTAGAGCTCGACCAGGAGAAGTACCGTCTCGGTCACACCAAGGTAGCATCGCTACCCCACCACTGTTTCCGGGAGACCCTTGGCGACTGCGAATCGGCCTTGCCCCTGCAACTGGAATGCCCCTTCCACAGGGATTGCCACCAGCGGAGGTCGCGGTGTTCCAGCACGCTCCGGAGACTCCCCCCCCCCCCCACCGACCCGAGTTGACCCCTCACCCTGAATGATGCAGCGATGGTGCTAGCGCGGAGTCCCCTCTCTTCCCCTGCCCCCCGGATCGCCCCCCTCGAATTACCCCAGCCCTATACCCTCCCAGCTCGTCGGGTGACTGAAAGCACATTACCCCTTTACAGTGTCTGATCGATGTGTGGAAAGAGGCGCGGCCCTGTACTCCCAACAGCCCCACCCACCTCCAGCAAGGAATTCCAGACCTGTCTCGTTTGAACCTTTGTTTGTTTGACTCTGCAAGTGACATCCAGCTGTATCATTTGGTTGACCCTTTCATAGACCCTAGAACAGAAAGACCTTGAGGCTGCACTTGTTGGTGATAAGCTTCCCTGTGACCAGGGAAGTTCCACTGCAATTCCATTTTCTAAAACAATCTCTGGCATTTTTGCACTTTCCGTAGCTACATGATCCTCGCGCCCAAGAAAATGAAACAGGCCAAGGAGGACAAAGAAGCGTGCGAGGTTTGCATGGAAACCATCCAGCTTGAGGCGGAAAAATTCCGCTTGGGGCATACCAAGGTAGTGCCATAGCTCTGGGTGCTTGCTCCCCGGCGTTTAAAACGATACCGATAAGCTCTGAGGGGCCATTCGCAAGTTGTGTGGCTGAAATTCTGAACGGCTTTAAAACGCTTAAACAGCTATTCACGGCTTTTCTATATCTCTATCGCTATAAAAGCTTAACCATTTTATACACGCAATGCTTCTGGATCCTCCAGTTTCAAAGTCATGCATTGTTCAAAGCTATGACTGTTTTGACTTGAGTGACTGCTTATTGTCACCAACTTTCGGCTGTTGTGTGTTTCAAAATGTTATTTTAAACCCAGCAAAATGACATCTTCGCTTTAATTGTGCCCTCTCACCCAAAACCTCCCTGGATGGCTGGTGATATCATTTGCCACCCACGACTTGACGTGAAGCTCTCACTCTTTCGCTTGGGTGTTGTGCTCTCCGTTCTTCGAGTGCAGTGCTCTTTGCCACCCGATTCCCGAGTGCAGTGTTCCGCGTGTCCTGGCAGCTATCAGGAGCCCTTTCACGTGAACCTCGCACTCACCTTGCGCTTCCCTTACTTCTCTTTAGCTACATGATTCTTGCTCCGAAGAAAATGAGCAAGGCTAAGGAGGACAAGGAGGCCGCAGAGCTTTGCATGGAAGCCATCGAGCTTGAAACCGAAAAATTCCGCCTGGGGCACACGAAGGTAGTTTCGGTGAACTGGAACATCTAACCATTTCGAAGTCCTGAATAGTGTCACGGCGCTTATTCAGGAAGAAAGCGAAGCGTTTCTGGAATGCGAACTTAATATGCCAGGATGTGGTCAAGACGAATGCAGTTGTACCCCTGTACCCCTTGTCATCGAATGGATTTGCAGCATGCGCGTGAATCGAAATGTGTTCACGCCTTCCCTACCCCACCCCGAGAATGACCTCTAGGGCCCTGAGACCATACCCGATCATGTACCAGACAGTCCGAGCTTTCCAATCGAACGAAATGCATCAGTGTGTACCTTCGCGACCAATGTCAACGAAATCCGCACTGTCTCCATCTATGTTCGCAGCCATGTAGACAAAAGTCGCTCCGTAGAACCCCTTGCACCTGTCACCCATGCACTTTCCAGACCCGAACCCACCCAATGCGCCCACTTAGACCCCTTGAACCTCCCCCCGTTGTGACACCCGGTCAAGAACGCCGCACGTCGCCGTTGACCCCTAGCAGGACTCTCTTGTCGTCACCCCATTGCCCCGAATGTTCTCCCATGGACCCGAGTGACCCCATGTAGCAGCCCGAGCCCCGAGGAAGAGGAAGCCCACCGCACGTCGTCGCCCTTGCCAACAACACCCAATGTTGTCTACTTGCCTGTGTGTTCCCAGGAGACCTGCATGAGGTAGAGGAGTTAGCTGTTCACCCGACATTGAGTTACCCAGTCCGACAGCACCCTGTCTGACCCTGTGGGACGCACGTATCGGTCAGAACGTCACCCCCTCCGAGGCTGTTACCGAGTTACTTGGTGGACGTACGTTTTGGTGTGGGAGTGACGCATAACGTTACAGCGCCGGCCGCCTGGGGATGCTGACGCTTCAACGGTTCCGACATAACCTCCGCTGCCAGCTAGCCCTGTTTCGCAGCTGTCGCTTCTTGTAAACAGCTTTCGCTGCGAGAATCTGACCGACATTTTTGTGCCAAAAATGCATGTCCATTTTATGTGCGCCTCTGAAGCTGACAATGCTAATATTGCTTCCCGGCAACTAGCTACCGCATCCTGCTACTGAAGACGGTTCCAGAGACCATGGATCCACGCAAAGCCACCAAGAAAGTGCTCTCAAAATTCACTCAGTTCGATGGAAAGTGCAGATACGGTCTGGCAAAGGTAGCTTCTGCTGAAACTAAGCCGTCTTCATTTCTTAATGAAGCACCTAATCGATCACATTAAGCACGCTGACCTCCACATTTCAGCACCGTTGCAGGCCCTTACTAGCAATTGGCAAATACCTACTTATGATCCTTCCAAAATTCTGATAAAATATATACATACTTCCTGTACTATCTGTCAGTACAGAATGTTTGGTGATAACTTCGCGATAACTTGAAAGCACAAGCGCACAACTTCAAACATATCTGCAGTAAGCCTGGCTACACACACTTTCAATTCAAGCAACATTCACATGCATTTCCTTCCCTGCACTTCCTCGCCTGCTAACCAAGGCTGCTCATTTCTGCACTCTAACCTTACCACTGTTCAAGCTTCCTTCTTTGAGGTTCTTATCTCACCGGTAAGTCTTTTAACTTCTTGCAGTTATTGCGAACATTATTTGCAGCTACGTAGCTCGTAGGTCAACGCAGGCTTGCGCATCTAATTTCAGACATCTCTTCTTTCTACGCATTTTGCAAAAACGATATGGCTAACGTCTTACCTTAATGCTGTAAAATTCAAGCAAATTACTTTGAAACAAAGTTATCGGCAGCAGAAGTCGTAATCAAACTCATTCAGTCCAGAAGGCAAAGAGATCCCCGTCAGCCAACCTTTCCGAACCCCGTCTCGCAGTCTGCTGACCTCAACCACCACATCAGGTGTTCTTCCGCGCCGGAGTGCTGGGTCAGATGGAAGAGTTGCGTGACGACCGGCTGGCCAAGATCTTCTCCTGGCTGCAGGCCTGGATCCGTGGCTACTTCTCCCGCAAGGAGTACAAGAAGCTGCAGGACCAGAGGTCAGTCGGCTAGGCTTCAAGTTAACTCCATGACGAGCTGTTGAGTTAGCGGTCTTGGCCTTTTCTTGGAATGCTTTCAGTTCATCTACCACATTTTCTAGCTCTTGCGACTTCTAGGCATCTGAAATACCTCTTGGCGATTTTCTTTAACGTTTAAGTCCCGGTCTAGCACGAGGCACAATGGTCTGAGCTCCTCTGTTCGACAGGATTGCCCTCTGCGTGGTGCAGCGCAACCTGCGCAAGTACATGCAGCTGCGCAACTGGATGTGGTTCAAGCTGTGGCAGAAGATCAAGCCCATGCTCAACGTCACCCGCATCGAGGATGAGATGCGCGTAAGTCTAACACTTTGATTATTTTTGTTAATGATAGACAATAAACATGAGTAGCGTTCAAGCTTGGCGCCTTTATCTGCCATGCTGATTGCTGATGTACCGAAAGACGCGAATTGCAAATATCTCTGTTTATTCGTATTCATTGCACGCTGTCAGCCGGCCAGTTTCTTAATTATAATTTCTGTTATTACCTTTGGGATTATGACAGATTATCGTAGTATACACGCTTACTTTAAAGCAGGGTCATGACCGTGGAATGAATGATGCATGGTAAGCACAATCTACTTCTTTCCTTTACAGGCCCTTGAGGAGAAGGCCCAGAAGGCCCTCGACGCCCTGGAGAAGGAGGAGAAGCTGCGCAAGCAGCTGGAGGAGCAGAACGCCAAGCTCGACAAGGAGCGCAACGAGCTGCTCGACGCCCTGGCCTCGGAGAAGGGCAGCTTGAGCGACTTCCACGCCAAGCAGCAGAAGCTGCAGGCGCAGAAGCAGGACCTCGAGAACCAGCTCTCCGTAAGTGGAACGCTCTTTTAATAACCCAAGTGCTGTCCAAATCTTTGTAATAAGTCATAGTATCTTCCGCTCCCTTCTTTCAACTTTACATAACAGTCAGCACTAAGCAGACATCTCTCGATGATCGAAAGTATTGAGGATGAAATTGTTATCGGTCTTGCAAACGTATGTTTCATGTTTCGCTGGAACATCGGGACACATCCCTGACTTTTCGCGTCTTTTGCTCGCCCACAGGACACCCAGGACCGCCTGGCCCAGGAAGAGGAGGCCCGCAACGCCCTCAACCAGGCCAAGAAGAAGCTCGAGCAGGAGCTCAACGGTCAGAAGAAGGATATTGAGGACCTCGAGCTCACCATCCAGAAGGGCGAACAGGACAAGGCCACCAAGGACCACCAGATCCGCAACCTCAACGACGAGATCGCCCACCAGGACGAACTCATCAGCAAGCTCAACAAGGAGAAGAAGCAGCTCCAGGTCAGCAGAGCTTTCCAGAGCTGATAGACCAGCTAAGACTATGGTTTTACTAGGGCCAGTCTGTGACTTCTTGTAAGGGTCGCATGCAATTTTATTTGATGCATCCTTCAGCAATTGGCTTCAATTTTACTTTTTTTTAATTTGTCAATACAAAACCCGAAACATTTACTTTGCATATATAACAACCCAACTCGGTAATCAAACTTAACTTCAGCACAGTAACTCGGAAAGTAGGTACTATAACACTTGCCTATGACTAGGCGACTCACGAATCCTCTTTTATCCCGACCACAGGAGAACCAGCAGAAGACCGCCGAGGACCTGCAGTCCCAGGAGGACAAGGTCAACCACCTCAACAAGGTCAAGGCCAAGCTCGAGCAGACTCTCGACGAGCTGGAGGACTCTCTGGAGCGTGAGAAGAAGCTGCGCGCCGACGTTGAGAAGAACAAGCGGAAGGTCGAGGGTGACCTGAAGCTGACCCAGGAGGCTGTGGCCGACCTGGAGCGCAACAAGAAGGAGCTCGAGCAGACCATCGCCCGCAAGGACAAGGAGATTGCCTCCCTATCCGGTAAGAGAACTGAAATATCGGGATATACTTATGCTGTTTCAATGGAGATATTTGATAGTTTATAACTTCCTCGATTGATTGTGGACTCTTAAAAAATGTTTTGCGCACACCAGATCCTTGAAATTAGATACACAGCATTTCACATCCTGGTATATGATCAGAGAAACCAGAGAAATATCAGTACCTATCTAAACGACTCCTGCCTATTGATCCTATCGTGTTGGCCTCCTTTCATTCATTTCTTTAGCTTGGATGGACGCATCCAACAGATCATAATAATATCCACCATCCCCAATCCATGATCATATAAGTGATCCGAGCTTCAGCCTGACCAACTTTGTTCCCACAGCCAAGCTTGAGGACGAGCAGTCGCTTGTCAGCAAGCTGCAGAAGCAGATCAAGGAGCTGCAGAGCCGCATCGAGGAGCTCGAGGAGGAGCTCGAGGCCGAGCGTCAGGCCCGCGCCAAGGCCGAGAAGCAGCGTGCCGACCTGGTCAGTAAGGGGGACACTTCAGGGAGGTGGGGGATGTACAAGGTCTTGGAGTTAATATTATCGTTGAAAGAATGGCAGGGGAGGGCGAACGGAGAAGAGCATACGACCTCAATCATCATTACCACCCTAAAAGAAGCGGGCAATAAATCAAGGGAGTTCAGATGATACCTATTATCAAGAAAAACTCTTGAAATGAACGAGACTAAAAAAGGTGTGTTCTAAATACCTTCAGATTCAGTATGTTCCTACGAGCTGTTCTTCACTGAACCACTAAACCATTCAACGCCCATAGAAACATTACTCCACCTCCTCATCCACTTACCATCATCTATGACACCACCCCCTGTCCTTTTCACCCACAGGCCCGCGAGCTTGAGGAGCTGGGCGAGCGTCTAGACGAGGCCGGCGGTGCCACTGCCGCCCAGATCGAGCTCAACAAGAAACGGGAGGCCGAGCTAGCTAAGCTGCGCCGTGACATCGAGGAGCAGGTAAGAGGAGGCGGCGAGGTTGAACATCACAGAAAGTGCTTGGGGACTTTTGACAATGATAATGATTCCATAAAATAAACGACGGAGTTGTTTAGCGAATGCTTTGGGAAAATCTCCGATGCATTGCAAAAGAATCTAGGAATCAGAGATGATGACTTTGGTTGCATCCAATAGCAAGATGCTTCGTGAGCATCAAATCTTTATTTTCATGTGAAATATCATTAGTCAGAGTTTCTTTACCACCATCAGAGCCTTTGGGGTGCGATGCCGTTCTTTGACGCCTCCCCGTATGACCATTTACAGAACATCCAGCACGAGTCTTCCCTGGCCAGTCTGCGCCGCCGTCACAATGACGCCATTGCCGAGATGTCGGAGCAGATCGACCAGCTCAACAAGATGAAGGCTAAGTGAGTAGCCTTAGAGAAAGTACTAAGCTTATTAGCTGGCATATTCAGATGTGAAAAACAAAACTGACTTCCCTAACAGCGTACGCCTGAATGAGAGAGCATTTAGAATAGCACGATACAATGTGAAAGCAGCAAAGGCGTTGAGATTTAAGAAGAATTTTCTATCCAAAGTTGCAAAACCTTTTGATTACCATGACCGCCAAAGTCAGAGAAACCTTGTGATATGCGAGAAGTAGATTTTATAAGGACCATCGCACTGAACGCCACCCCGCGCTCTAGGCTGGAGAAGGAGCGTACGACGTACGCCCACGAGGCTCACGATGCCCGACAGGCTGTCGAGATGGTGAACAGGGACAAGGTACGCGTGGGACTGACGTTTCTCTAGAAGCAGACGTAGCAGCAGCGGTAGTAGCAGCGGTAGCAGCAGCGGTAGCGGCAGCATCTGTAGGAGTTGGAACCAGAGTCGTCGGAGGACTAGCCCTCCCGCAGCAGCAGATTAATTTGAACTGTGCAATGTTGACCCACCTCGAATCCAGAGTATGTAGACACAGGTTGACGGTTTGGTGTGGTAGCCAGTGTTTGACTCAGTATTGAGGTTATGTGGTATCATGATGTAGCAGACTGCACGGAACCAAACTATTCCAGGTCAGAGAAGGACCGCGAGAATGCCGCCGCCGATGTTACAGATCTGCGCTCCGGTCTTAGCTTTGCCTCGAATGAGAAGGTATATCTAGATCACTGTAGTCATTACCTTCACTTTAGACTAGAATAACCCCCCTACTGCACGTCCGGGACATTTTGCGTAGAGCTCAGACGGCAACTTTTTAGCCCGAGGAGCAGCCAGTCTTTTATCTCGGATATTTTTTACTGATGCACGTGCACCACGTTGTTCTGTAGCGCCGAGCGAGATCGTGCCGGGGTCCTCTCAGACGTCCAGGAAGGTCGTGCCACTCTGCACAGAGCTCAACAGGACTCGGTAAAGAGGTCGCGCTGTAGGCGACCCGTTTTCCCCATACCTACTAACATTGCGGTGTTTTGTTTCAAACTAAATGCTCATACTTCTACAGTGAAGTGCAACGCAGGGAATAGACGATTCTCAAGCCATACACTCAATGGCTCAATCTGTGCCTGCTTTGATGTTGATTCTTTACAGCGAGATGGACAGGTTTGGGATTGCTTTCAACTTTCACGCTATCTTTGCACAAATCTTCTCTTTCTTTGTGAAGTGTATCTGCTGTGAATGTTCGATATTTCTTGCTTTTTCGACCAGGTTACTCCTCTGGTGGGTATTTACATGTGTGCAAGCTGGCTTACATTTTATTTTCGCTCTTACAGTTGCGTCTCGGCCATTACACTGATAAGAGAAAAAAATATTACTGAGGTCTCAGGATTATTCCGCAAAAACGCTTACCTAATTTCGTCAAACCATGTGCCTCATTCGTTATTGTCGAACAGCAAAAGCCACTGGTGTTAAGCAAAAGCAAAAAAGATAACCTAGGGATAGCGACAGGTTAAAAAATATGAATACCGGATACCTAGTCGTGTTTGGGATAACAAAACAAAGCTTCCCATTTTACCCAAACCCTACAACTTCCCCTGACACCACTCGCTCGCACCAGGCCGCCGCTGAGAAGATGAACAAGATCCTGCAGCAGCAGATCAACGAGGTGACCTCCAAGCTGGACGAGGCCAACCGCACCCTCAACGACTTCGACGCCTCCAAGAAGAAGCTCACCATCGAGAACTCCGAGTATAGCCGCCAGGTGAGCTGGAGGACGGAGGTTCAGCCAGCATTGGAAGCTACCAGCACAAATAAGCTTGTGCAAAAACCTCTCTGATTGCAGTTCTGAAGCAAGGACTAGGTACAAGCCAGAACGTAACGAACGGGTGATCACTATAGAACTGGACAAATTCACCTCTCTGATCACGGTTTTGACGCAAGGATTAGGTACAAGCCAGGATGCAGTTACCTGATTTTTGTCAAGGAGGAATGTCTGCTTCGTTAGCGAAAGATATGACTTGACGTCTCCAGCTAAACACTGCTCACGTCCTTCCCTCTGCCTCCACTCTGACCACCTCCATCTTTTCTGCCCACAGCTGGAGGAGGCTGAGAGCCAGATCTCGCAGCTCTCCAAGCTGAAGGTCTCGCTGACCACCCAGCTGGAGGACACTCGCCGCATGGCCGACGAGGAGTCCCGCGAGCGGGCCACCATCCTGGGCAAGTTCCGCAACCTCGAGCACGACCTGGACTCGATGCGCGAACAGGTCGAGGAGGAGGCCGAGCACAAGGCTGACCTGCAGCGCCAGCTCAGCAAGGCCAACGCCGAGTCACAGATGTGGCGCCAGAAGTACGAGCAGGACGGCCTCGCCAGGTAAGCCGACGCGCCACGACGGACTTCAAGGAGTGAAGGACGTGAGAAACATCCTGCTCAGATCGAAGCAGTCAAGGTGTACAGTTAGTCTTTACTACAAGCAGTGTAAACTTTCACCGCACAACGTCAATATTACCGTTACGGCTTTCCTATAAGTGGGTTCACTCTCTGAAGCGGTGTTCAGCAACAAGTAAAACATTGTCATAATCAGCGAACTCAGCTCGTTCTCACACTTCACCACTCCCACCTCTCCCCGCTCGCAGGGCTGAGGAGCTGGAGGAGCACCGCCGCAAGCTGTCTGCCCGCCTGCAGGAGGCCGAGGAACAGCTCGAGTCGCTCAACGCCAAGAACATCCAGCTGGAGAAGCTGAAGCAGCGCCTGAGCGGCGAGCTCGAGGACATGCACATGGAGGTCGACCGTGCCCAGCAGCTGGCCAACGCCATGGAGAAGAAGGCCCGCAACTTCGACAAGATCATTGGCGAATGGAAGATGAAGGTCAGTGCCCTTGAGACGGAGCTCGACTCTCTTGCTTTTAGAAACAAAAGTAAATGCATGTTGGTTTAACATGACCATTGTCAAGTCTATTTCGATATCATTGACATATTATTGCATAGGCTATGCAGAAAACCAGTTGAGGTACAACAAAACCCTAACCATTAAATCCGATTCCAAGTAAAGTCCAAAGTTTTTTTTAGCGTTGAGAACATCCTTCGTGTGTCGACGACCCTTGACCGCCAATCGCCTCGCCTGACCCCTGGCGATGCCTCTGACAGGTGGATGACCTCTCTGCCGAGCTGGACGCCTCGCAGAAGGAGTGCCGCAACTACAGCACTGAGCTCTTCCGCATCAAGGCCGCCTTCGACGAGTCGCAGGAACAGCTCGACTCAGTGCGCCGCGAGAACAAGAACCTCGCCGACGAGATCAAGGTAAGATTCGTCGACAGGTATCGCACATTCTGCGGGCCATGGTTGAGGATAAAAGTGGTGGTTGTTTGATTTAGGGGATCTTCATATGATCCCTTGAAAACCATCCTGATATACGTGACGTAACAGTATGTGGCGTGTCATCTTCCGATAAAATGCATTGCTAAGTTACCTGCCGTAGATGAAAAGCACAAAACAATGCTCGCATACGGCGAAACGAGACGAATGCGCACTAGGCCTTGACAACACCATCTGCCGTCTCGCAGGATCTCATGGACCAGATCGGCGAGGGTGGCCGCAACGTGCACGAGATCGAGAAGTCGCGCAAGCGGCTCGAGGTCGAGAAGGAGGAGCTGCAGGCCGCCCTGGAGGAGGCCGAGAGCGCCCTGGAACAGGAGGAGAACAAGGTGCTGCGCGGCCAGCTGGAGCTCAGCCAGGTGCGCCAGGAGATCGACCGCCGCATCCAGGAGAAGGAGGAGGAGTTCGAGAACACTCGGTGAGTGGGCGAGGGAGGAAAAGTGCGGTAACGTGTTTGCATTGCTATTCTACGTTGTCCTTCGTGGGAGCTATTGGCAAATAACTAAGCGAAACTGTGAAAGGATTTATCTCCTATGGCTATTTCATTGTGAATGGCATTCACTCCATTGAACTCATCTTATTCTAAGCATGCTATTGGTGGTGCATCTGAAACCATGACTTATTATTGAATGCTGCGGCTAAGTGACCAGTCAGGAGAAGGAACGTGAACAAAACCAATCACTCGGCCATAGCGCAAATCTAGCCATATGCCTCATGCTTGCGAAATCCCCCCTTCACAACACTCGCCTATTTCGTCACCACCACTAACGGGTCGCCTCTCTTCCACCCCACAGCAAGAACCACCAGCGTGCCCTGGACTCGATGCAGGCGTCGCTCGAGGCCGAGGCCAAGGGCCGCGCCGAGGCCATGCGCATGAAGAAGAAGCTCGAGTCGGACATCAACGAGCTCGAGATCGCGCTCGACCACGCCAACAAGGCAAACGCCGAGGCGCAGAAGACCATCAAGCGCTACCAGAACGAGATCAAGGAGACCCAGGCGCGCCTGGAGGAGGAGCAGCGCGCGCGCGACGATGTCCGCGAACAGCTGGGCATCTCGGAGCGCCGTGCCAACGCCCTGCACGGAGAGCTGGAGGAGAGCCGCACCCTGCTCGAGCAGGCCGACCGCGGCCGTCGCCAGGTCAGTGACCAACTCCCGGACGTACGTGTATAACATAGGCTCAGCTTATTGTATATCAAGTAAATGTGATTCGTAGCGTTGCTGAATCACTGTCTATGGAGAGGAATAATTGAATCTACAACTACAAGAAAACGCACAGCTCAATGCATCACAGGGTGGGGAAATGGTGTCAGTGTGCTGAGCTCTTTGCTGTCTGAAGCGGGCACAAGCCTCTCGGTGCGCAGTATGGCACATCTACTTCCTGTGAGTGTTCCTTGTCGAAGATCTCCTCACCCCATCAACTCCCAATGACTCTCCTCCACCTTCGCAGGCCGAGGCTGAGCTGGCCGACAACCACGAGACCCTGGCTGACGCCCAGGCCAACTTCGCCGCCGCCTCCATGGCCAAGCGGAAGCTCGAGGGCGAGGTTCAGTCGCTGCACGCCGACCTCGACGAGATGCTCAACGAGGCCAAGAACTCCGAGGAGAAGGCCAAGAAGGCCATGGTCGACGCCGCCAGGTGAGCGTTAACAAAGGACAGCCAGCAGAAGGTTGGCACAAACCTTTAGGCTTCACGTCATCTTATCATTTGGCTACTTTCACACTTTGTACCAGTCACGCATCGAGGCATCGGACATGGCACTATTTAGCCCTGAACTTTGCATATCCTATCCAGTATCCATGCAACACCCTCACACTGCTGACCTACCTCGTTCGATCCGCAGGCTGGCCGACGAGCTCCGGGCTGAGCAGGAGCACGCCCAGACTCAGGAGAAGATGCGCAAGGCCCTCGAGGTCCAGGTCAAGGATCTGCAGGTACGTCACAGTATGGTTACCACCATGTTACATCGCACTGAGATCAACATCGCCAATGTCATCGAGCAATCAATCCAAAGTTGTTGTTTTTAAGGCAGCCTACGGCATTTGGTATGGCTACTCAGCACTTGTGGGGTTGATGCCAAATGTCTTACCACCCACCTTCGTCGTCCACAGGTCCGGGTTGACGAGGCCGAGCAGAACGCGATGAAGACCAGCCGCAAGATGATCCAGAAGCTCGAGGAGCGCGTGCGCACCGTCGAACAGGAGCTGGATAGCGAGCAGCGCCGCCACAGCGAGGCCCAGAAGAACCTGCGCAAGACTGAGAGGCGCATCAAGGAGCTCAGCTTCCAGGTCAGTGGCTGATGTGGCTTTGGGGTCGATTGAGGCGGGTGGTGAAAGGTCAGTGGGTTTCCTGGGGTGAAATAAGATGGGAAAAGCGGCGGTATTGTTAGATTGCTATGAGATTAGGGGAGAGTGGGGCAATGGCGACACCATAAGCATTCTGCTCAATAGCTTAGCTATTTGAAGCTATTTTATGGTGATTTTGACTGTGGTTATAGCCAAAGGAATAGGCTTTCAGATAACACCCAGTTTTAGTATCTCAGATCACTGATGACAGATTCAGAGCCTACGCGAAAATGTGGTGAAAAATGGAGGTGCAAAAAAGCGAGGGGTAATGCCGGCCACTAAGTGCAATAGCACAAAAAGTCGAAATATCGCCACTGGTATTCATCCTTAAACCGTTCTTTCGATGGAAATTTAAGTGAGAATTAAGAAACGACAACTGTATTCAGCAGTTAACAGTGCACTGCACTGCAACACAACACTACACTCGCTGCAACACAACAGCGCGGCGCCAACAGAGCAGCAAACTAACACAACCGGAAACAGCAAGCAAACTAACACAGCCGTAAACACAGCAACCCGAAACGTTGAGCTTTAACGACAGAAGTCGCAAACAAAACCGCGTGGAGTCATTCCGGACACGTGTCCGGTATTATCCCAAGGTCAGCTTTATTTTAAGAAAGCAGGCAGCAGTCAAAGGCATTGCGTCGCAAACGCCTCACATCCAGCAGTCGCCTAAGAAAGGCTTAATTGAAGGTCATTGCAAAGCAGCACTTCTGAAAATGCGTTAACACATTTCACAGTCAGCAAAAAGATGCAACAAAAATTAAAAATCAGATACGAAAAACACATTTAACGCTATAAAAATGAAAATAACGGAGCTACCGTGACAAACTTGCACCACGTGCTAGAATGGCGCTCAACTGAAATGTAAACAACATCAGCTGATTAGTGATGGACAAAGTACTCACTAGAGATGGGTGGCCGGCATTACCCACCGTCCGCCATTGCCCCGCTCTCCCCTATCTCAAAACAAAACCGTGGGAAGAGACCCACATCACTGCCATGACAATCACCTGACGTCGCGGTGCACTTCCACAGGCCGATGAAGACAAGAAGAACCACGAGCGCATGCAGGACCTGGTCGACAAGCTGCAGCAGAAGATCAAGACCTACAAGCGCCAGATCGAGGAGGCTGAGGAGATTGCCGCGCTCAACCTGGCCAAGTTCAGGAAGGCGCAGCAGGTCAGTATAAGGCATCAGCTTGTCCAGCTACAAGCAGGCGAAGTGTGAGAGCCTAAAACATCAGAGTCGTGAAGGAATTCCAACAGATCATGGATAGGCTGGGCACTGGCGTGAACGTGTTGAAGAAGTTACAGTAAATAACTGTAACGCGGGAGCTAGCTGAACTTTTTGGTCACTCATGATGGGTCAGCTGAAATCGAAAGGTTGAAGCGATTCCCCGCTAGGTACCCGTGTGTAAGGACTCCCTGGCGGTCTCTTTCTTCCGTTGGACACCTGAACTCACCACCACTGTCTGTCTTTCTGAAGCTGACGATGCCCTTTCTCGCGTTCCACAGGAGCTGGAGGAGTCGGAGGAGCGCTGTGACCTGGCCGAGCAGACGCTGGCCAAGTTCCGCGCTCGTGGACGTGGCGCCTCCGCCGTTCGTGGCGCCAGCCCGGTACGTCTACGTCTTCCACTTTCCAAAGACTGGAGCTGCTAACGCTGCAGATCCCTTATGTTCATTAATCAAGCTTTCGCTGTACGGAGTTCTGGGTTCATTGAAACTGTTGACGCCCACATAACGCAGCATAATATGTTGCATTTATACCGACGAGAATATGAACTTGGGATGTCATATCTAACAACCCCACGTCATTAAAACGTCTATGAATTATAACCCATTCTCTCCTTTGCAGATGATGTAAACGACATACGTTGACACAAGACAAAACTTTCCATCGTGACTGGTAAGTGTCATGCCATTCTTACGCTTTTTCACGCACATCTTTGAGCATGAGATCCATGATCAGAAATCAAAATGAATCTCAACAACATGAGTATTGCCTTGACTGTTTCAATATTGTCTCTTTCGGCTGGTACTGTCAGATAGAGGATGTAATGTGTTAGGTTAGGGTCTAATTATTGTTTCTCGCTGTTTCAGGCCAGCGGCAAGCCCCCGTCCGGTCTGGCCAGCATGACTCGCGACATCTATTGACGACATGACAAGTGACAGCTTTGCGAGTCGCCGCCGGTAGCGCCACCAGCTACCGGCGGCGAGCCGCGCGCCCATACAGACTGAACGAGTGAGTGAGGCGACATGCGCGGCTAAATGTCGGCGCCCATCCGCACAAGATGGCGGTCGTGACGTCACGGCACGTGCGGCGCCCGAGCCCCTGGCCTGCGCCGTAATATGGCGGACAACATGGCGGCGGCGCAGTGTCGGGCGGAGTCGGCGTCGTGCGTTGCCATGGCGACGCGTATGCCCGCTAGTGTTTCTGTGGCGACCTTTCTACTGAACTGTGTTCCCATATGCATGATACGAAAAGGTGCAGGTAATAAATAGCCGACAAACCTACTTCGAGTTTAAGTGACGAGAGATCTAGGCATAGGTAGTCTGTACGGGATTTTGAGCGGCAAAAACACAGCCCTAGCGTATGGGTACCGAGTAGTATCAAGGGTGGAACGTCTAGTCACCGCATCCGGTGTGATAGCCGTTCCAGAATCTGTTGAGGACAGAGGATATTAGTGATTCCGATGTGGACTCAAGTAAGGGAATCACCACCCACAACCCACCGGATAACATCGACCATAACTTCCATCCGGGGAAAGAGAGTTATCAGAGCATTGTGGTCCGTCGCGATACCAAACGCAGGCGGCTGCGGTTGAGCCATCGCCCAACTGAGCCATAAACGATTGTAGTTGGGGAAAACCGTGATAAAGCAAAGAAGGCAAAATGCGTCAGTGAGCCCCAGCGACGCATAAAACCACCCGAGAAAAGTCATAGGTGGAGAATTTGACGGCATTGCGAGTGTTTGTAGCTCTTGCACCGCAAATTCACCGCCCTAGCGCACAGGCTTGGTCGCTTGGCTTTGAGACCGCAACAGAAGGTGGGGTTCAAGGTTACACGCGCAGTGGCGACGGATTTGCGGTGCCCGAACACCCACAGTTCCTCACAATTCTTCACTTTGTAGACAGTGGTAGGGGTAAGAGAGAGCAGCATGAGCATGGGCGTGGGCTGGCGTCATCCTCGGCAGTATGTCGGAAGGTAGGTTCAGTGGCGACAGAACACCTTCAAATAAGGGGGGCACTGCCGAGTGCCGACCTTTGATCCCATTCTTTCCGTGCAACGCCCATAGGGCTAATGTTAAAATGCAAAAATCAAAGGGGGACACGCCCCCCCCCCCCGTTCCGCCGCCTATGCCATGAGCATGCGCAGTAGGCAATAGGCATCATTGGGCGGAGCAGACGGCGTCACGGCAGAATATTTTGCCGCAGAATAGCCCGACGGATGCTCGTGAATTCGATTGTTTTTGCTTTGTTACTCAACGCGGCGCACCAAGCAATTGCATTGTGGTGTGTTCCTTCCTTGCGGAGATGTCGTCAGAGATGTTATTTTGCGTGAATTGGTGAGTTGCCGCCCTACCCTGGCAACCTACAGTAGGTAGGTATAGGTAATACCCATTTAATGAACACATTATTGTGTAGTATTTCAGTGGCATTCGTGTGAAATCGTTTTGCATCGATGGTAAGCGATTGCCGAATTTTGCTACTAGGCAGATTATTGCGTCGGACTCGGAGTGTTTCACAAAATATCATACAGGTGGGTCCCATTTGTAGTAGGTATTTATCGCCTTGATTCTGCCATTCTAGGCGGCCGTGCAGCGTCACCAGAGAGGCGATGTCACACCTAGTAGATGTTGCGACCACCGAGTCTTACTGAGGTTTCTCTTTTCTCAGGTCTTGCACTGACAGACATGTATAAATATTAACTGTGTGTGCCTGAACTGACAAGCTGGCATGATGAGATGGCATGCTGAGACTGCTATGCTGAGACTGGCATGAACTGGGAGCGGAAACTTCGGTAACGCTTTACTTTGCATATGATCTACTTTTTCATATGTTTGCTTATCATTGGTTGTTGCCATCTTCATTTTCTCTTTGTCTGTCAACGGTCATCGCTCATTAACTTCTGTGTCATTGACTGTGTTATGTGCTGTCTCTGCTTGCAGAAACCCCACTTTGCTGCATGCGCGCAAGGCTGTGTTTTGTGCCATTCCTTCTGTTTCTATCTTTTTCCTTTGTTTGCCTTTCAATGTATCCTTCCCTTTACGTCTTTCATTTTTGTGTACAATAAAGCGTTCAACGTACAGAAGCATGTGGGAGCACAAAGACCGCTACAGTAGATATGTTACAGGCAAAGTGAAAACTCGGGCATTTTGCAAAATGCCTAGGCAATTTGCAAAATGCCTGACCCGCCAGGCATTTTGCAAAATGCCCAGGCAGTTTGCAAACTGCCTGACCCACCAGGCATTTTGCAAACTGCCTAGGCATTTTACAAAATGCCTGACCCGCCAGGCATTTTGCAAAATGCCTGGGTTTCCATATATTCCACCGTTTTTGTTGACTACAGGCGTTGATCATAAACGTTCCACTGTGACTGACCCCACAACACATTTCACATGTGTTGTGGGCATATGTGACACATTCCACGGTCACGAATACAGGGCGTCACGAAATTGTTGCGGGATGTTGTACTTGTGTCCCGAAATGTATTGCATCGTAGTTGCGTCAGTGTTCTCCAGTACCTCGCTGACAAGTTATCAGCGGCCATATGGTCTGTCCCCGCGGCACCTGGTGAAGCTCAAATAGGCCTCTGTAGCCCATCATGCCCCAAACGAGAATCCCCAGTGCCCAGTGGGTGCTTCACCGTCTCGACGGTGCAGCGCCTCTGAGCTGCTGTTGGCCCAGAACTGCTTGTTGGGACGGTTAGTGACTAAGAAGAGCTCTACTAGCCATTTTCACGACGGGCTGGCTATCCGGCGAGTGCACCTAATTTGACCAAATCTGCACCTAATCTCTTTTAATACAGCAAATATCTTTATTTTATGAATTTATTTCAGTGTTTTAACCGATGATGCTCTCTGATAATATGACAAAGGAGGCATATAAGCAATTAGTACAACCCCAGCTGATAGCTACTAAGAGACACACTGAACCTAATTTGACCAAATATGCACCATCTGCACCAGATGTGAACCAAATGTCTACCAGATGGCCGTCATGAAAACGGCTAATATCGACTCACGGCCTTATCATTGAAAAGTCTGAATCTCTAGTCCTGAGTGGTTCAGATTTGTTGGGTTAATTTGTCGAAATCCAGTTGCACCACTTATGGATGACGGTAAGTCAGGGTTGCAGCCTGAGGTTGAGCGGCTACAGCTTCAGGGTAAAATCTTCAGATACCGGGAGATGGCCGATTTAGATGCCAAGTGCCCTGGTCCAGAATCAGATGCCCTGGTGCCGGACCCGTTCAAATTACATCCATTCAGCACTCAGGAGGGGCATGGAGGGACAAGACCGCGCCAACCGCGTATCAAGTTCGTGACACTCTGAATACCTACGTCTTGCGTCAATTCTGTCGAGATGGAGCCAACGCTGAATGGACTTGAGCCACCGTCTCCGTACCTTTTGTATACCTATACGGAGTTGTAGCCGTGTGTATAAAAGCTGCGATGTCCAGTATTCTGCCCCGGTGGGCAACTGTTCAGGCAGAGACGATTGATAATATATACCTAAACGTGTAACAATCAAATTTTCGTACATTGGAAGGGTATTCTTTTCTGATCAATATCCACCCATAGTATTTTCAAAAAACCACCAAGAGCTCCTAGAAACAGTACAATCATTGTACCGAGCGCATGTTTACCCACGAAACCACGCCCGGTGCTTAGCACCCGACGGCCGCTGGGGCTCAGTGAGCTGAACTCGGCGGCGCTACCCGGAGAACGCAGTGTCCCCTCACTTGGTGCGCATTGACAGCGATTAACTTTTGTAAGCGGCAGTTACAAATGATGCTTACCTATACATCGTCGCCAATGCGAGTTTGATGTCAGCCATTTTGCAAAATGCCTGGAAAAAATATTTCAGGCAGTTTGCAAAATGCCTGGTGGGTCAGGCAGTTTGCAAACTGCCTGGGCATTTTGCAAAATGCCTGGCCGGTCAGGCATTTTGCAAATTGCCTAGGCATTTTGCAAAATGCCCGAGTTTTCACTTTGCCTGTAACAGATATATTATTCCGGGTGTGAAACAGGGCCCTGAAGTAGGCAGTGACGAATGCGGTTAGTGATGATCGGTGGGTGGTGAGTGCCGAGTGGTGACTGGTGAGCACCTACTAGACCTAGGGTTGAATTGGAAAAAAACTGTAGGGGGGTGTAAATTCGCCCCCTCCACTGCAGCCCTCGGCATGGCAAAATGATGTTTCCCCGGAGCGGTCGTGGCCGAGTGGTTAAGGCGTCTGACTAGAAATCAGATTCCCTCTGGGAGCGTAGGTTCGAGTCCTACCGACCGCGTGATCTTTACTCGCAGCTACGATGAAACACTTTTGAATCAGCACAATGTTCCCCGAAGTCCGAACCGCCCATCCACTCGCATCATCGCATCGTGTTGAGTGAAGCGTCTAAGGACGTTCAACCAAGAACCCCGCAAGGACGCCCGAGGCCTAGTGAGCCACATTCTTTCGATCTTCACAGCATTGATTGCCATCTGTTTGGCTCTGGGTCTCACTCCCATCCCACGGCACGCCGCTACTAGCTACTATGGAAATTTAAGCAGTTGCCAACTTTGAATGTTTCCAAAGAGACCATAGCGGCAGCATCTCGTAGCGGCGTGCAGACTCTTCATCAATACACTAGACACCAGCCAAACTTATTACGCCCTATGTCTCTCACATAAAGGCTTAGCTAGCAATGGAGCTAATAAGCCAGTAACAAAATAGGTGAATCCTACGTCTCTCACTCAGGTTGCGCTGCAAAGGGGCTTGTAGCAAAAAGATTGCAAAGTTTATCCATATACAATGAGAGATGAAACGAAACCACACGTATACCAATTTCACAACTTTATTTGCCTACAAAATATGTGACAATAAATCACTTAGGTGTGGATGACGTCCTAAAGATGGTCGTAGACCACGTATATTCCAAAATTAGCATATCAACATCTTATCTTCTCCCTATACCAACCAGGGATACACATGGGAAACACCAATGCTGCTCATGGGTTACAATATCGCAAAAGCTTCGCATCCTCTCAAAAGCATAGACCGTATGTACAAAGAAAACCCTAGCCGACACTAACACCAAAAGTTCTCAAAAGCACAACCAGTCACCGGTTATACACAGAGCCATACAGGCCAGACTCTACACTGAGCTACTATGGCGGGAACCGACTGACACAGGTCACCGACCGGTGCTGCCATCTAGGCCGCCTTTTTCTTGACAATCAGCGGGCCAACGTTGTCGCCTGTCTCTTTGTTGTGCTTGTTGTGGCTTCCATCGCAGTAGGGGAACTGAGGAAACA